CTGCTTCCCGTGTGGAACATCTGGGGATCTGGGACATCCAGGCAATCCGCGAACGCATCACCGTCATGATGTCTTGCTCCTCTGAATTGTGTGCGTAAACTGTTTGTCAGTTGCCGCATTCCACACCCATAGTTTCGATAGGTGCAGGCCTCGCTCGAGTACACCACCTGCGGCACGCATTTGCGATCAGATCAAGTACTCCGCCCGTTGGCGAGGACACGCGGGAGGCGAGATGCATCGAGGCCTCGGGGTCCCCGTCGAGCTCTCCGCGCGGTGGCTCTCCCGACCCCCTCCTCGCGTGAGGGCCCTCGACGCGTGCGGTCTGCATTGCAGCATCTCGTGCACCCTCGTCTCGCCCTGCCCCGTGGAGTCTCTCCTCCTCCTCCTCCTCCTCCTCCTCCTCCTCCTCCTCGGAGTTCTGAGCGTGCCATCTGGTAGGCTCTTCGAGTGCTAGTCGTCGGTGGTGAAGGGCCACTGCGGCATTCCGGGGAGGGCCGCATCCTCACGGGATCGGGCAGTTGGCATCTCTCCCTCGGCGGAAGGCGGCGGAAGGTCGGCGGAAGCTGTCGGAAGTAACACGAGGCTACCTCCGCCAGCGGAAGGCGGCGGGAGGAAAAGATACGCCCCGCAGAGACGACACCATCTTTGGACCCAGGGTTTCCACAGAACCCGCCATGTGGCTCTCGCAGACTATGATCTTCGAGTGCCCCTGCCGCCGGTGGTGGAGGGCCAATCTTTATAGGGGAACGAGCAATGCGAGAAGCACGTGAACTCGGAGGTGGAGCACCACGCCCGGAAACCTCCGAAGACTCCCCCAGGAAAGTCCAGAATCGAATCGATGTTACCAGCCTCGAACGTACCCCTATCCCTAAGCTTGACACGCCAAAAGGCGATGACAATCTTGGGGATCCGCCCTCAAAAAATAAGGGAATCCCTAAGATTGGCATCGTGATGAGGAGGTGCCCAGCATAGGGATAGGGAGGGGCTCCAGGCTGGTAACGAGAGGCAGGATCGGAGGTCGACCCATAGGTTCAACTTCGACTTCCCCTGGGAACCCAGAGCACAACCAGAGGCTACCCGCAAAACACAGAATAAGGAACACGGAGCTCCTCCCCCACGAGAAGGGCTCCCTCTTCAGGGCCCCGGCTGCAGGACCGGAGGCCGAGCTGCATATCGGCTCGGCGGGCCTCGACGGGCCGAGGCGGGAGAGAGGCCGAGCCGGCGGAGGTCGGCAGGCCACGGGGCCTCCCTCGAGACACCGGGCTCCCTAAATCAGGAGGGAGGCCCCTTTTTCCCACAGGTTCAACTTCGATTTCCCCTGGGAGCCCTGGGCAAAACCAGAGGCGAGCTGCGAAACAATTCAGGAGCACGGAGCCCCTCCCCAACGAGAAGGGTTCCCTCTTCGGGGCCCCGATGGGCAGGATCGGAGGCCGAGCTGCACATCGGCTCGGCGGACCTCGGCGAGCCGAGGCGGGGGAGAGGAGTCGAATCAGGCGGAGATGGGCAGGCCACTGTGGCCTCCCTCGAGACTCAAGGGGCCCAAGGACACACAAATAAAGACACGCATATAAAAGTGTTCCCCATATGTTCCCATATGTTCTGGGGTTTTGTCTTCCCGCCCAATTCCCGCATTTTTCCATATTTTCTTGGGGATCGATGATTAATTGTGTCTGTGTTTTTTGTTCCCCCTCCTGAGAGACACCAGGCTCCAGATCGGAATCCGAAGTCGAATCGGATCGGAAACGGACGCCATCGAAGTCGAACTGGAGGAACCGAAACGAAGTCTGTTCCCCCCTGGGCCTCAGGATCCCCACCTCTGCCGTGGCCCCTCGAACCCTCGAGGACCCGAGGACTGGCCAGCTCGCGCCCAGAGAATAGGCACGGGCAAAAGGGGATACGATGTCCAGCAGCAATCAGCCGTGCAAAACAGACAGCGGCCGCTGATGGGCAGGCGGCCTTTTGCCTCAAGTGGGCCACGCCCGCGACAACACCGACAGTGACTCCTGCTCAAAATGGGCAGCGCCCGCTGGCGGTCCTCGTGCCCATTGTTGCCGTACCCCTGTCGACCCCCCCGATCCATCCTCCCACGCATCCGACGTCGTGATCTATTTCGGGAGCGGCCAAGAGGGGGGTGTCCAAGAGGAGGGGGTGCAAATCATGACCGGCGGCATGTGCCCGGCCCAGCGGGGGGCCAGGGACGCAATGAAATGAGAAGAGGCGCCAGGAAAGCTGGGGAGCTGTCATGGCTCCCGCCATGAGATCCCCCCCCCCCTAGTCACCACCCCCCTCTCTGCCGCCCCCGACCCCCGATCCATCCTCCCAGGCATCCGACGTCGTGCTCTATTCACATCGTGGCTCCCCACAGGTCTGGACTCTGGACCCCTCCCCGGGCACGGGCATCTTCATCCCGAGGAAATCTGGAGGATATCATGGCCCCCGCCATGAGATCCACCCCCCCTAGCCATCACCCCCCTCTCTGCCGCCCCCGACCCCCGATCCATCCTCCCAGGCACCCGACGTCGTGCTCTATTCACAGCGTGGCTCCCCAGAGGTCTGGACACTGGACCCCTCCCCGGGCACGGGCATTCTCCTCCCGAGCAGATGTGCTGACAGCCCCGTGGCCCCGCGGGGGCCCTCCAGGGCGGACAAAAATCGGTAGGAACCCTCCGTCGTGACCTGTTTCAGGACGCGGTCGGGTCTGGGAACGAGGAGGAGGAGGAGGAGGAGGAGGGATGAGGATGAATAGGGGAGGGGGAACAATAAGCTAGGGACCCCTACCCGGGCACGGGCATCTTCCTCCCAAGCAGATGTGCTGACAGCCCCGTGGCCCCGTGGGGGCCCTCCAGGGCGGACAAAAATCGGTAGGAACCCTCTGTCGTGACCTGTTTCACGACGCGATCGGGTCTGGGAACGAGGGGGAGGGGGAGGAGGAGGAGGAGGAGGAGGGGGAGGGGGAGGAGGAGCAGGAGGGCGAGGGATGAGGATGAATAGGGGGAGAGGGGGAGGGGGGAGGAATAAGCTAGGCGTGTTCGCGCCACATGTGACGTCCTCCTCCTCCCCCCGTCCCTTCCCATTGCGCTGCTTGTGTATCTATCCGCCGGCGGGTGTCATAGCGGACTTGGAACTCCACCGAGGATCCCAGAGTGTTATGCGCAATCGCAAAACAAAGGGGGCTGCGTACATTGGAGGAGGTGGCGCATGAGGAGGAGGATGCGCAGAAGGAACAGGCGTATGAGCAAGGAGGGGGATGACGAACAGCAGCAGCAAGAGCTGGAGTGGAAGGAGCGTGAGGAGCAGGAGGACCAGGAAAAGGCGGCACAGGGGAAATGAGGGGGGCGACAAAGATGGAAAGGGATTCGGGTCTCCGAGAATGGCCCAAGCTGAGGCGAAAACACAGTTCTAAACGACAGGAGCAAAACGCCCATCTGAAATCGTCGAAAATGAAGAACCCGAAAAACAATCGGAGTGCAAACTAACGAACTAACGCGTTCAAATACTGCGTTTCATGGAAAGCCAAGTCAATACGCGGAGAGGGCCGAATCTTTTCTGGACACCGCCAGGTAAGAGGGAAGTAGCCTTCGTAATGTTGAAGTGTGGAGAGGGAGGACAGGAGGAGGAGGAGGAGGAGGAGGATGAGGAGAAGGACTGGCAATACCCTGGGGGCGGCGCATGTTTTCGAAACGTACGATCCAGCCGAGATGATTTGGCAGCTGGCAGAGCGGCAGAAGAGACGTTCAACGCCAAACGATGGCACGGGCTGCACTGAGCTCGGGTGGTATGTCATCAGGCGTCGGGTGAACAGCTTGCTTTATTTGGTGAGGCGGAGGAGGAGGAGGAGGAGGAGGAGGAGGAGGAGGAGGAGGAGGAGGGGGAAGGCCTCATCAACGATATTGCAATAAACGCTCCCTCCAAGTTCCCTCCTCATGGGTCCCATACAAGGATTCTTGCTCACTCAGGGAAGCCCCCCGTGGGAAGACAATCGTTTTGAAGCTTCTGAACTGTGCCAGCACACAATTCCTGGGTTTCCAGCGCCGCGAACGACCCCGAATCGTTCCAAAGCGCCATGGCTGGGACATCAGCACCGCGAGTCAACGTAAGCGCTGCGCCCTCACAGCCCGATGTCGTGCCAGAGCGCCACTTCTGGGGCGATACCCGTGGGAATCCGATCATTAGCCTGCGCCAGACTCTGAAGACGACAACCGCGCGGCGCCGAGGCGAGAGCCACGTTCCGAAAAGGTGTGGCCCTTCCTCCGCGCAACGCAGGGGGAGGAGGAGGAGGAGGAGGAGGGAGGAGGAGGAGGAGGAGGAGGAGGAGGAGGAGGAGCAGTTGTAAAACGAACGCGAGCGATGCCATGGCGGGCGCCGCACATTGAACGTGGACCGCCCTCGACCCGTGCAGCTGTGGCACACTTCAAGCTTCGAGATGGCACGGCCGGGGGGACCATCTAAAAACGAGAAAGAAAACATTAAGGGCAGGAGAAGGGCGGGGAGGACGAAGGAGGAGGAACATGAAGCGGGAGACAAGATGATGATGAGGACTAGGGGTAAACGTAAACGCGTGGGAGTGGGAGTAGTAGTAACAGTAGTAGTCGTAGTAGTGGCAGTAGTAGTAGTATTAGTAGTAGTAGTAGTAGTAGTAGTAGTAGTAGTAGCAGTATTAGTA